GCCAGTGCAGCCTAGGGAGGGCAGGTGCATCTAAGCCCGAGGGTAGCACCAGAGTCACCTGCATGGACATTATCACAGACATGGAGTCAAGGCCACCGGGGGTGCTGGGCTTGAGTCACATGTCTTCTGAGCCCTGACCACCTGCTCAACTGTTTTAAAGTCTGTCAAGTGTTTATTTTTTTTATTGTTTTAGTAGCATGAGTTTGCAGCACATAATGGCCACACTGGCCGTTGGGAGTCAGTACAGGGACAGGAGACACCTCAGTCCCTCTCACTTCCTTCATCTGCTTCTTCGTAACTGTGAAATTGTCCCAAGGAAAAAGAAGCCAGCAGTCCAAAATGTCTTTACCCAGGACCCTGAGACAGACTTTCATCACAGCCCCTGCAAACTCAGTGATGCTCCTGTCAGCGTTCCTGGGCACTCGTGGGTGTTGTGTCCAGGATGCTGAGAGGCACAGGCCTGGCTGTCAGAGCAAAGCTGAACTCAGGCCCCCGTGGGACCATGACACACAGTGGCAATGTGGGCACCAGCTGAGGCTGGCCGGATGAGAGCTAGGGAGCACCTGCTCAGGAAGGGTCCACAGCCCCCACACTTCTGTCCAGCTGCACATACTACTAGCCACTGCACTGGCCACCCTGCAGCCCATCACCCCCTTCTAGCCTGCACCTCAGTTTGGCATATGGTCTATCCAGCTCTGGCTGCCTTCTAGAACCCTTCAAGATACGCTGATTTTATTTGTTGCTGTCCGCCTGCCCCATCCCAGGTAAGCTATGTGGGGTGGGCATTTGGGTTTCTGGGTCCCACTTGGCTGGTGAAGTGCCAGGGCACACTCAGGGAGTCCTGAGCTGGAAACCACACTGGCACCAGGCTGCTGTGGTCAAGGTCAGGGAGGGCGGGGCTCAGGGGTGGGACAGAGATGGCCAGGCAGACGGAAGGAAGGAAGCGGGCACTGCAGGGCAGACGATGTCACCCCAGACAGGAAGAGAAGCAGGGCTCCTAGAGTGCAGCTGCAGGACAGGGCAGCTGCCCCAGCCCACAGAGGTGGTGCAGGGACACCTGCGGCCTGACTCCACATGGCCTCGGAGACGCAGTGGCTTGGCCTCATGGTGTGATCCACACTGGCAGCAAAGGCGTCTGCTTCATGTGGCACCTGTCAAGGCAGGAGTTGTGTCCCATTCAATCATGGCAGGCATCCGGACCCCCTCTTAATGAGAAAAGAACAGAGCAAAGAACCAGTCCTGGATCCCACAGGCAAGAGCAACTCTGCCGCCTGGACTCCTATCACCACTCTGCGAGTCTCAGATGACGGCATCCAAGGGAAAGCAAAAATAACCCCATTCAATCTTGCTGAATTTCCAGTGCTGTAAAAATTGCTTTCTATTGATTTGAACTGTAAATAAATAGCACCTGTACCTGCGTTTAACTTGGTTAACAATGTCTCTGGGTGAGACAGGGGCCCTCATGTCCACCTCACTTCTGTCTGTCCAGGGCCCTGGTGCCAAGAGCAATTTCGTGGTAGGTTTCAGAGCCCTGTGCACCTGCAAACAAAGGGCGCCCGTAGGAAGCATCTGCAGCAGACACAGCGGGGCTCCAACTGGGTGCTGGGGGTGGTTCGCACCCAGGAAGCTAACGGACAGAACAGCCCAAGCCCCTTTGCTGGGGTCCTCACAGAGAGTCTCTGGTGTGAAATAAAACTCTCCCAATCACTTGTTCCTGAGAAGACATTCAAGAAGGTTCTGAAGGAGAAAGGGCAGGATGTGACACATTGCTTGGAATGTCAAGGTTGAATGAACAAAGCCAGGTGTGGCTGTGCATGCCTGTAATCCCTGCCCCCCAGGAGGCAGAGGCAGGAGAGCTGCAAATTGAATTCTGACTGGGGTAATTTTGCAAGACTCTGTCTCAGAAAAAAAAAAAAAAGGGTGGCTAGAGCTCCCGCATGTGAGGGCCCTGTGTTCAATCTTCAGTGCAAAAAAGAAGAAAAGTTAACTATGCAGTAAGCAGACTGTAGGGGAAGAGCTCACTGGAACCGCAGGGCCGGGAGTACAGCGCATGCAAACCTGTCTGACTGCCAGCTTGTTAAATCTGCCTTAATTATAAACCTCACCTGTCCTCCCAAAAGAAGGCCACAAGGCCAGGACAGAGCAGCCACTCCTTTGGGTTGCCTGCCTCGGGATTCACTTATTTCACTGCCAGAGGCCTTGGAAGTTCAAGTGGTTTCACTTGGTCCCCTGGTGCAGACCAAGGTTCCCTCAAGGCTATCGCTGGGTCAGGGAGTGCAGCACAGAAGTCACCCCACATCCTCGAGCCTCCAGTCCTCCAGTCCTCAAGCCTCAGAGAGGTCTGAGTGAGGCCAGTGAGCTCAACTGTTAGAGCCCGCATGCAAGAGCACACTGACACATGATTAAACTTTTCACAAGTTAGAAAGTGTCTAGTCAGCAATGCTTTCAATTTTCAGGAATGAAGAATGTTTATTTCTCCAGTATAAAGAAATTTACCTGGGCGTGGTGGCACACACCTGTACTCCTACTCAGGAGGCTGAGGCAAAAGGATCCACGTGAGCTGGTGGCCGCCCAGGGCTACACAGTGAATTCAAGACTAGCCAAAGTACATAGCAAGACCTTGTCTCCAAATAAGTAAATAAATAACAAAAATTATAATGTAACAGTCTGTTTCAAAAATAAATAACCACTGTCCAGGAAAAATCTCCCGATTTTTTAAGTGTGGCATCTTAGAATGTAAGAATATGTTGGTACCAGTCCCTGGCAAGGACACAAAGGGCCTCTCTGCTCTCGGGCAACCCTGCCAGTGCCAGTGCCATGCAAGCTGCCATGGCTACATGAGCGTACCGGGCACTTCCTCGGACCCAGACACGGGCTTCACCCTCTGACTGCACAGCTCACTCAGTCCTCACGATACCCCCAGCAGCGCTTCCAACAACCCTCAGACAAGGACACAAAGGCAGTGAAGGCTGGCTGCCTGTCGGGGCCACCCAGCTTGAAGTGGAGGGCAGGCCAGGTGCCCACGGGTCCACCCTGCCTCCTCTGCAAAGCCGCCCTAGACTCTCTCCAGCAAGTGTCCACCTGCGTCCACTTTTACCCTCAGTGGGATGCAGAGGCCACTCAGCAGGGAGAAGTACCTTGCCTGGATAATGAAACACCTCTGCCAGGGGCCTCATCCACCTGGAGCAGGCAGAGTCCTCCCACGTCCTCGTCCTCCCTCTGCAGTGAACCACAAATAAAACACCTGTGGCAGTGTTTCCTGGGGTTTCTTCACCTTGTGCTGGCTCCGTGGTGTGGAGGGAACTGGGAAGCCTTCTCAATCCCAGGAATTCAGACTACATGAACACTACCAGGAGAGAGGGCATATTCACTCATTTTCAGAACACATGGAAATATGAATATTCCATCCTAGACTTCTTAATTTTCCTCTGAGAAAGGAAATATAATTCCGTCCTATGTATTAGAATATCACTGAGTTACAAGAACACTGATCATGAATGTTTCTGGAGAAGTAGGATCAGTGTCACAACACTGACATGCATCCCAGAGGAGGGTGAGGGGGCACAGCACAGGAGCCCCGGCACCACAGCCAGCAGTCACATGGGAGCGGTCACAGAAACAGTGGCAGCCCCGGACTTGCATGCCAGGGGTGCCCACACTGGGGAAGTTCACTATAAGTTGCATTTCCCAGGGCTGGACAGAAAGTGTGATTTCACCGCAGGGTTGAGAGACGCCAACAGCAAATTAAAACACCAATTGCATGAAAACGTCCTAGACCAGGGCCACACCGGACGACTCAGGACTGTGCCCCTGCGCCCCAGACCAACCCGAGGCAGGACCAGGCTGGGAGGTGATCTGATATGGGGACCTTGGAGGCCAGGGAGAGGAAGACCCTGCTCTGCCTCTTGGCCCTCATGGAGACTGACATGTGTACTCCCCACCACCCCATCCTCTCATCCACACTCACAGGTGAGCAAGGCAATGCACCGCTGTGAGTGTAATGGCCTGAGGCTTTACCCCTTCCTACCCCACAGTTCCCTCCAGAAGCTGAGGCAGGGCTGTGACCTCCCTGGGGGCCCTCACTGCTGCGTGGCCCTGCCCAGCACCTCCCTGCAGTGCCCGGTCACACTTCCACTGCCCCTCACTGGGGGAAACAAAGGCATCACAGACAATTACCACCTCAGTGGGCGATGGGCTTGGGGTTCCAGGTCAGAGAAGGACCCAAGCGCTGCCTCAGGCCTCCGTGGGTGCACATGGCTCCCCAACACACTCACCGTACTCACACAACGTGCGCTCACACTAACATACTCACACACTCGCACACACTCCATGTGCTCATGTTGGTGAACTGGGCAGAAACGCCAATCTGGTGTCTCCAGTTCACCTACTCAAAGAGGTAGGAAGACTGCCTGGGCCATTCCCGCACCGGCACCCAGGGGTGCTCCGCCACACTCCCAACCTGTGACTGGCCACTGACCATCAGCTGCCGCCGGACAAAGGCGCCTTGTGCTGGATTCAGTGGCCGGGAAGGCTGTCCCGGGGCTCGCTTTCGCCCCTGCACACACACAGGTTTTGCATCTTTTGCCAGCTCGGGAGCGTCGATTCCCCGCGGGGCTGCAGCACGGGACCCCCGCCCTCCCTGCTACCCATCCGAGAATCCGCACCGCTCATCTCTCAGCGGCTCACCGGCCAGGGAGCCCAAACTTCCCTTCCAAACACCCGGCACGATGCGAAAGTAGCAGCCGGGCTTTCCCTCAGCCTCTGTCATCCCGCCTGCCTCCCCTGCGCGCGCCTAGGGGCACTCAGGGGGTGGCTGCTGGACCCCGCGACCTGGACGGGGACCCCGCGATCTGGACGGGGACCGGGGCCGGCAGAGATCGTGAGTGAGGACGCGGGCGCCGACTCCAGCGCCCCCACTCGTGGCCTGGGCCCCGGGGTCCCCAGCCCGCCCGGCCCCCAGCCCGCCCGGCCCCCCGCCCGGCCCGGCCGCGGAGACTCACGAAGCGGCGCACGAGCGCCCGCGCCCGGCTGCAGTCCATGACTCTGCCCGGTCAAGGCCCGGCGCGCGGCGGAGGCGGCGCCCGGCCCTCGGCGTTCATGCCCGGCCCGCGGCACTCACGCCCGGCCGGCGCGATCCCCGCTGCGCGCGAGCCCCGCGCTCCTGCGTCCCGCGCTCTGAGCAGCCCGGCCCGGCGCGTCACGCCGCGGTGCGCATGCGCCGACCGGCCCCGCCCCACTCGGCCCCGCCCCCTCCCCGGTGCTTCCGCCTCCGGGCGCGCTCCCGCGACCCGTAGCACTTGGTCTTGCGACCTCAGCCGACGCCTCCGTCGGCGCGGATGGGACGTACTCGCTAGCCTCAGGTGGCCACGGTGAGGGGATCCACGCGCCCCTCACCACCAGGGTTGGGCTTCGCCTGGCCGCTGGGCCTAGTGACGAGTCCTTGGGGTCCGCTCGAGAGAGCCGCCCCTCTTTGGGAAACAACCCGGGTTGCCGCTTGGATTGGGGTCCCCAGGGGTCTCCAGTATCCCGGTCCTGCTCATGGTCGTTCGAAGAACCTCTTAGGGCCCAGAGATCTGGGCGTTGGCAAAACAATTTACCATAAAAGCGATGCCCGGTGGTGCAGGAGAAATGATACTGGCCACTTTTAGGTTAGATGCAGGGGACCAGGGGCCGCAAGGCCGTTCTCTCGCCCTGCGCACAGCCCTGCTGCTCCCTGCCCTCTCCTCGATCTGCACCCAGAGCGGCGGGCCTCTGTCCCCAAGGAGCCTGGGCTGCACCGTGGAGCCCAGGAGGCCTAGGTTCCTTCTCCCGAAGCCTCGCCAGGGGTTTCGTGGCCTGCTGCTTGGGGCTTGACAGGCTTTCCTCTGCCACTCGTGCCAGGCTCTGGGAATGGCACCACCCCTACCCAGGTCTCCTGCTGTCGTCACCCTGCGTGGCCCTCCTGCTGTTCCCTGGGGCTCTGCAGCAGGTGTCCCTTCAGCAGACTCTGCCTGGTGCCAGAGAACGCCTTCCATTCCTGCCAGACCCCGATGGCTTCTGCCACACACGGGGCCAGCTCAGGAGGACACAGGGTCAGGAGCCAGGTGGAGGCGCGGTGTCACGGAGGTATGGATTGCCCTGCACGCACACGGCAGCACACTTGTTGCTCATGCAGCAGGAACATGGTTGCCCTTCCCAGTGCAGCGGGAAACCGACTCCCACCCTGTTGGTTGTTGGTCGGGCAGCTACCCAGCAAAGAAGAGTGCATCTGGGGCACACAGGAAGCTCCAGGTAGCAGAGGTTTATGGAGAGAGATCCTGAGAGAGGGGGAGGGTCCCGAGAGCAGCTTGTGGAAGGGGCTTTTTCTCTGAGGACGTTGTACACTGCAGAATCAACTTGTGTACAACATGGGTCAGACTGCAGCCATCTTAGGGGACCACGAGTCATTCAGCTGGCATTGATTGGGGGAAGTAAAGTGCTTCTCCCCAAAATGGACAGTAGTGTGGGCAGAGTGTTCTGCTTGCCCACCTCTGTGTCTGGTCGTAACTGGGGCCCCGGACCAGCGATGCGGATCACAGTACAATGTGGAGCCGCCTTCTGTGCATGTCTGGGGCGGCCCTCAGGTCCTGCCACCGTGTCTCCATCCTGGCCCTCTTTAGATGCCCCTGTGGCCAGTCTTGGGTTCTCCTCTACTGAACCCTCTGCCTGCTGTTGATTTTGGTCTGACTGAGCTGTCTATAACTCTGGCAGCCACCTCTCTGCACTCTGTCCTGTTCACTGTAGGGCACACCCTGGCCTCTTTTAGGTGCCCTGTCCAGCCATGGCCTGGAAAGTCCTGACACAGTTAATTTTGGAAACTCCATCCTTCTGTACAGTAGTTGGCTTAAAACAAATTCAAGCTCATGGATCCTGAGAGATGGCACTGTTGGGAGTGGTCCAGGAAAGATTTCCTCACTCAAAAGGGAGTGAAAGAGGCTGTCCCTGCTTCCTGCTGAACGCTATCAGGTGATGTGAAGCCTTCTTGAGACCGTGAGGAGCATCCTGATGGTGGGGACAGCAGCATGGAAAGATGGGGAGAGCCTGGGTCCTTACTGACTCCATCAGACCCTTAACCCATGTCATTCCCCAGCCCAGATGTTGTTAGGAGAGATAATAAATGTCTCTATTTCAACGAGGTGAGTTGGGTTTTCTGTTTCAATAGGATCAGCATCTTTATCTTACGAAAACAAGACCACCAGAGCTCTATGAAGATAACAGAAAAGCAAACAGCCTGGGCAAAGTTGCTGTGCAACAAACCAGCTCCAGTGTAGGTGCTCGACTGGGCCAGGTCCCCCCACACTGGGAGCCTGGGTTTGGCAGGAAGGCTTCTTCTGCCCAGATGGTTGGGACTGCTCTTCAGGCACCTGCATCCTTCCATGAGGTACAAACCTGAGCTCCCTCCTCTGGGTTTTAGGGACACACACATATCCTTGTGTCTGCAGGGCCTTGTTTTGGGGACAGGCTGGCCTCCTCTGCCTGAGGCACTCACTCTCGAGAGGGTCACTGGGCATCCTGCACAGCCTTCAGGCTCTGCTGGGAAGTCCCAGAAGACTCAGTGCCAGCAAGTTGCAAGGCCAGGCCAGATCCCAGGTAGAGGGAAGCAAGTTTGCTCCCAGATGGAAGGAGGCCATGCCAGACAGAAAGGAGGGCCAGGTGGGCTTGTTTCCAAGAACAATTCACTGGAGAGCAGCTTAACCGGCTCCCGCAGGGGTGTCCCACCAGGCAGCAGTAGCACTAGGGTGACACACATGGACAAGGCCCCACCGTGAGCAGCTGAACGAGGATGGGCTGTGCTGATGTTCATCAGGAGAGGGAGGCCACTGTCACGGTCTACAGGGCTACCCAAAGATGGCTGAAGAGCTTCCTTCGGTGGGACAGGGAGGGAGGCAGGCCCGGGCAGCAGAGATCCAGCAGGTTGAGGGTTACGTTCCCTTGGGTCATCTGGATGATTGGAGGTCCTGTTATGTTCCTGTGTCATCTGCACTACATCAAAACCACTTTGAGGAATCAGGCAGCACAGGGAAGCTAAACCTGAGTGGGGAAACGGAAGGGACTCATGCTCAGTGGACAGGGAAGGTGGAGCGCTGGCCTCCTGTAGTCGAAGCCTCCCGCCAGGACACTACACCCTCTGTTGGGTCACCTCTGCCATCTGGGAGCCCGGGCAGCTGTGTCCCCCTGTACTGGCTGAGGGACTTTATTTCTAGGCCTCCCGATCCTTTGTGTCTGTGAGTTCATTCTCCACACTTCACCTCACGTATTCATATTGTGTCGATGTCCGCTCCCGGCCGGCAGGAAGGACACACGACACAGTCTGGTAGTGGACAACCTTTTCTTTTTATTTTTCTTCTCCGTACAGCCTGCCCTGGGTTCTCCCAGCTGAAGCCTCCTTTGGTCCGCTCCCCGCGGCTCCTTTTGTGCTTCAGCCTGCCCCAAAGCCTCTACCGGTCCGCTCTCCGCGGCTCCTTTTGGGCTTCTACTTCCGGGCTTCTATCTGGCTTCTACTTCCGCCCAGGGGTGGCACCGGTATATATACGGGTACAGTGTCCAATCATGTTAAAGTAAGCAAGGCAAGCTGATTGGCTAACATCATCAGTTGCCAGGCAGACTATATTGTTGAGCGGGTTGTTTACGCGGTAAGCAGGAAACTAACATATTCGATGGGAGGGGCAATCTACCTCAGGCTTCACTCTTTACTACAGGCCTCACGTCCGCCAAGTGAGGCGACCGGGCTCGGGGCTGCGGCTCCCAACATCTCCCCCTTTTTTATTTTTTATGAATGTGCGCATCGTAGCCCTTCCTGGACTGGGTGCAGAGGCTTATGCCCTATGCGTAGGCCCACCGTAGGTCCTTGGCTTAGACCCTGGTCGGCCGTTCCATGGTCTGCCAAGGCCCTGAGGCCCTCGTCCTTTTTCTAGGGCCAGGCACAAACTGGACGGAACCTGGATGCACACAAGCTTGCACTCATTTCCTCTCCGTAAAGAAATCCCCTCGGAGAGAAATTTAGACCTGGGCAGCATCTAACAGTCCAGCGGCTTACGTGCAGGATGGGGTAGGGCCTGGCTTAGGTCGAGTCATGCTGGGGAGGCACGCTCTTACCCGTCATTGACTCATCTACCCTGCTATATCATAATTTTTTAGAGGAGGAGTGTGGGAAGCTCACCGTCCCTAGACTCGGTCGTAGGCTAGGCGAGCGAGCCATGCATATGCCTGAGGATCTTCTTGTCCATTTCGGGCTACCGCTATTTCTATTCATCTTGTTGGTTGGTCTGTGATGGATCTCCAGTAGGGCAGGTCTGATCTTCAGTCGAGGGCTTTGTTGCCCGTGTCAGTCTCTCCGGTATCCACAGTGGTTCTCGTCCCGATTCCTGTGGGAAAACACAAACCGCGCCTCGGTTCCAGCTGACCACTGGATCCGGGCCCATCCATTGTCCTGTCAGGACATCTTTCCACTTCACCCACCCTTTATGGTTGGGGGAAGGGTTGCAGTGCTCCACAGCTGGGGAGCGATTATCATTATTTAAATTTAAAAAATTGTGTGTGAATAGTGCCATGGATAATCGTGCCTTTGGGGCCAGGCCTTGGCCTACTCCCCCTTTTTGTTTTTGTAAAATTTCTTTGAGGCTTCTATGAGCCCTCTCAATGATTCCTTGACCTTGGGGATTGTATGGGATACCATGTTTTAATTGAACCTCCATCATTTTGCAGAACTCATTGAAGGCTTTGCCTATATAGGCTGGTCCATTATCAGTTTTTAATATTTTTGGTTTGCCCCATGTGGCCCAAGCCGCCAGGCAATGATTGATCACATTAGACACTTTTTCACCTGTTTCTGCTGTTGCAAATATGACGCGAGAACAGGTGTCTGTGGAAACATGAACATATTTAAGAGTCCCAAACTCCTGTATATGTGTGATGTCCATCTGCCAAACATCACCAGGGATCAAACCTCGAGGGTTTACTCCCATCGGTATGGCAGGTTTGTATGTGGCACAGGAGTCACATAGTCGCACGATATCTCGTGCATCTGCTCTAGAAACATGGAAATGGTTTGCTAGTGTCCTGGCATTGACATGAAATTTATCATGGAAGGCACGGGCTCGCTCGATTGGTGTTAGTAAGGTAAAAATCCATAACGGGCGAGTGGCAGTGTCAGCAGCCGCATTCCCCTGTGCCATGGGCCCTGGCAGGGATGTATGTGCTCTTATGTGGGTGGTGAAGACCTTATGGTGTCTGTTTTGAAGCAATGTCTGGATAGACAGGAACAGTCCAGCCACTGTGGAAGTGGATCTAATTAAACCGGCAGTCTCAAGCACTTGCATAGCATTGACCACATACCTAGAATCGGAGACAATGTTAATGGCCTCTGAGAACCGTTCAAGAATCATTTTAACGATCTGCAGTTCCACCACCTGAGGCTGATCTGGTTCAAATTGTATGGTAACCGGGGGCTTGCCTAGGATCACATAGGCGCCTATCCCCGTCTTAGAGCCATCTGTGTATATTGTAGTTGCTGGGACTAATGGCTCAGAGGCAGTAACCTTTGGAAAAATTATAGGGTGCTGAGTGACAAATGACAAGATAGGGTCTTTAGGGTATTGATTGTTTATATCCCCATGGAAAACACATCTCAGAATGGCCCAAGTATCTATGCAGGCAGCCAGGGTCTTGATCTGGCTGGCGGTATAGGGTACTCGGATGGCTTGTGGTCCTGAGCCAAAATGTTGGACAGCTCTATCATGCGCTTCAAGGGCCAATGAAGCGACTGCCTCCGGGTAATGCTCTATGACTTTTGCAGGTGAGACCTTAGGGTGTATCCACAGTAGTGGTCCTTTCTGCCAAATCACCGCTGTAGGCTGTAGACTAGTCTGTAGCAAACAGACATCAAAGGGTCGCCCTGGTTTAATTCTGTGTAAGGTAGCCCCACCTAAGGCTTTTTTTACTCTCTGTAAGGCAGCTCTTGCCTCAGGAGTGAGCCTCCTGTGGGAGGCTATATCTGGGTCTCCCTTCAGAAGGTCGAACAGGGGTTTGAGATCTGAATTTGGTATATGTAAATATGGCCTAATCCAATTAATGTCTCCCAATAGCTTTTGCATGTCATTTAGGGTCCTAACGCCATCCGTCCTAATGGTGACCTTCTGTATAAGTCTGGAGGCGACACTGAGGTCCACACCTGCTGACCCAGGGGTGGCCCTTGTTGAAGGCTGCCACCCTGAGCTGTCCTGTCTCTGGGGCGGGGGCCCGGCTGTGAAGGGGGCCCCCTCTGGCCGTTTTTTGGCTCTCTAGCATCTTGTCCACAAATACGGTTGCCCTGAGCATCAAAGACCGACCTACACTCCTCAGCTTTGTGTGATCCCTTCTTGCATCGCCCACAAACATATGGTTCTTCATTCCTAGGGCGAGGCCTAGCATCTGCATTGTTTGGGCAGTGACGTTTAATGTGTCCTGGCTCCCCGCAGGCAAAACACCCTTTAGCCTTACATTCCCCTTCTAACCCGCGAGGTCCCCTCTGCTGTACAGCCGCGGCCAGGAGAGCAGCCACTCCCGAGTTGGAGAGCGGCCCCCCTATCTCTCTGCATATCCTAATCCAGGCATTGAGGTCCTTGTTCTTATGAGGAGCTATCGCTGCCTTGCACTCCTTTGTACACTGTTCGAAAATCAGCTGCCTTACCAGCGGTCGAGCCACTCCCGGATCAGAAAATATCTTATCGGCAGCATCTTGCATTCGGGCCACAAAGTCAACAAATGGCTCTGTGGTACCCTGAATTATTTTTGAAAGACACAAGGAGGCTGTTCCAGCACCACTTACTTGCTTCCAGGCGCGGAGTCCTATGGCATTGATTTGCTCATAGACAGCGCCGGGGAACTGGGTCTGGTCATCAGCGTGCCGACCTTCTCCCATAAGCATTTCCTTGTTCCACCCCCGGTTTCCTCGATTGGCGTTTTTCTCAGCCTGCTCGGCAGAGAACTCTGCATACCAGGCTCGCCAATCCAGGTAACTGCCCGAGGGCAGACAGGCCTTTGCCAGCTGAATCCAGTCCGCGGGGGTGAGGGGCCCAGAAGACAGATTCTCCAGCATGGCAATGGTGTAAGGCGCAGTCGGCCCAAAGGTTGTAACTGCATTTTTAAGTTCTC